AGATATATATACACAACACATGACGAACAGTAGATGTCATTAAATGGTCTCCTTTCGAGGTAGTGCATTTTGAAGGATTACTGTCTTATAATAATGACTCGGTTTCTTAAGGAGCTTGAAATTCCTCCTGGTAGAGATCTGCTCTTGCCAAGGAGTAATGAGAGAAGGATCCTTTCTAATCTAATAGACTCTGAGCTATTGTAATTCTCTTCCGGGGGTATGTTACTTCTGTTTTCATTTAAGTGTCAGCCTTTCTCTTCCATACTGGTCTTCTAGGCAAAAACCTTACTCCTGCCTGGGCATGGTGGCATATGCCCATAATCCCAGCACCCTGGCGGCTGAGGCAGGAGGATTGTTGAGAGTTCAAGGCCAGCCTGGATTACATAGTGAAACCCTGTCTCAAAACAACAACAACAACAAAAAACACCAAAAAGCTCATTCCTGTGAATGAATTGCAGGGTTTTGTTCTCATTGCTGTGGCTGTTGGCCAGTTCTTCCTTCCAGTGCCTCTTGCTTATCCAAGCAGGTGGGGTCACCGTCTTTTTATTGTACATGGTAAATGTAACCTAGAACATCTGCTCAGTCTAACAGCTTTTTTCACGTAGGGTCAGAAGCCACTAAAAATATTTTATGATTGAGAGGCTTGCATGTAAGAATTTTGCCATTGACTAATGTAATCAAGGAGAATTCAAGCTGTTGCCAGACTCCGGTGATTTTATTTTAAGTTAGGTGATTTTAAATCCTGGCTGTGGCCATGATCATGGCCATTTGCAGTAAAGATGAATTGTCTTTGCCAAATGCCAGTACAACAGGTATTTGGTAAAGTTGGCTCACACTGAAGATTTACCCTAGATGAGGGTAAGAAAAGGAAAGAAGGGGTTGAGATTTAGGCTGTGCTTACTGGCAGACAGGGCGCTAGTACTGTGATCTTGACACACGTGTACTTCTGCCCTGATGGGCCTTCCAGCCCCTACAGTCCCTTCTCTTGTCCATGAGCTTAGCTGCCACTCTTGGTGAACCCTTCACAGCCCGAGTCCCTCTCATCTCAGGGGGATGTCCCGGAACTAGGAGGTTTCTTGTTAAATTGAAACCTGTTTTTTCCCAGAAGACCTCACTTAGTTAAAAAAAAAAAAAAAAGAAACCACCTGGGCACAATGCCACATACTTGTCATCCCATCACTTGGGAGGCTGAGATAGGAGGGTCACTGTGAGTTTGAGGGCAGCCTAAACTACAGTAGCAAGACCTTGACCCAAAAAAATTAAATATGAGAGGTGACTAATTTTCTCATACATTCTAGCAGCAGCAAGACAGATCTATATTTCACCTCCACTATTTGATGGGTGTTCCTAAAGGACAGTGCTGAGACCCATGTCAGTTGCTTGAAATTTGTATATATTTTTTGGTTAGGTTTTTTTGTTTGTTTTCTGAGACAAGGTCTCACGATACAGTTTAGAATGTCCTTGAACTCATGCTGCCCAGGCTAGCCTCAAACTCACAGTGACCCTCCAGCCTCCCCAGTGCTGGGATTACAGGTGTGCACTACCACAGCAAGCTACCTGCTTGAACTAATTTACCCCTTTTGCTTGCTGTTAGCCATTTCCCAGATGTTGGCAACTGATACATTTATCTCTACCAGTACCAGATGACTCCTATTTCTACATACATGGTTTCTCAAAAAATTCTAGTCCTGCTACTACTAATTTGTGTGGCGAGTGAATATAATTGAAAGAGCATTTGGAGCTAGGCATGGTGCATGCCAATAATCCCAGTGCCTGAGAGGCTGAGACAGGATCGAATGGAGTTTGAGGCCAGCCTGGGCTTCATAGTGTGTTCAAAGCCAGTCTGAGCTATGTAGCAAGACCCTGGTGAAAAAGAACAAAAAAAAACCTTTTGAGTCAAATTGGGATTTGAGGGCCGGGGATATAGCTCAGTGGCACAAGAACCTGCCTGGCAAGCTCAAGGTCCTGAGTTCGATTCCTGGTACCCCCCCAAAAAAAATTGGGATTTGAAATTATTTGGTACTTGCTAAATATAAGCCAGGACAAGTTATTGGCCTCAGAACATGACCACTCATCTATAAATACTCCAGTAGTACGTCCTAGCAAAGTTGAGGTACTGTTCAAATAAAGCAGTGTTAAGACGTGCTGGCACTGGATGGATGACGCTTAGAGTAAACGTTGTGCCCCCTTCCCTGTTTCCTCCCTGCAGTGTCACGCTACACTTGCAACTGCTGCACTCCCACAACCTCTGCGCACACCCCCATCCCTGCTCCACCTGCTGCACATCTCCGTTATCCTGCTTTCTTGGCTTCCTTCCCTTCACTACTAGCCAGTCCCAACTCAGTTCTGGAGCATGCTCAGCTGCTCGGCTTCCCTCCTTGTTCAGAGTCCTGTCATACACTGGAGCAAACGGAGGAGCCCCGAGTGTTGGTGCCCATTCCGTGAATGCAGTTCTAGGAACTTCCCTTGCTTTCTGCCACAAAGGGATTGTCTGGAATCCAAGTCCACCATGTCCTCCCTAGTCTAGGCCCATGACAGCAGCCTCCCTGAGATAAGCTTTAAGTCTCAGCTTGATAAGAATTACAGCAAAATCAAGATGCAGACTACCCTCATCACTCCAGAAAGTTCCTCGTGCATCTTCCAGTGAATAAACAGCCTCTTTAGAGCTGACCACTTCTGTGGCTGCCTTTACCACAGTTTTACCTGTTTGAAAATCTGCATCACTGGGTGTGGTGGCGCACGCCTGTGATCCCAGGGGAAGTGAGGCAGGAGGATCACTGCGAGTTCAAGGCCAGCCTGGGCTACCTAGCAAGACCTTGTCTCAAAAAACAGAACAACAAAATCTGTATCTACACTGGGCATACTGGCGCACGACTATGCTGTAATCCTAGCACTTAGGCAGTGAGGCAGAAAGATCACTTCGAGTTCAATGCCAGCCTGAGCTAAGCAATGTGACACTGTCTCAAAAGCTGCATATGTGTGCAAGAAAGATTTTAAAAATTGTTTTCCTGATTAAGCTTTAGTTCTTTCTCATGGTAGCAAAATTTAGGAAAGAAAATTCATGGTCCCACACCAGGGACTGAGGATATACCTCAGTGGCACAAACACCTGCCTGGCAAGCACAAGGTCCTGAGTGTGATTCCTGGTACCAAAAAAAAAAAAATCTCACACTGTCCAGAGAGATCCACTTTCATGGGATAGTGTTTTGGGTTTTGTTTTTTGTTTGGGTTTTTTTGTCTTTTTGAGACAGGGTCTAGTTATGCAGTTCAGGCTGGCCTTGAGCTCACTTTGTAGCCCAGGCTGGTCTCGAACTCACAACAGTCCTCCTGCCTCAGCCTCTGAAGTGCTGGGATTACAGGTGTGCACCACCATGCCTGGCAATAGAATTAAAGTGTTGTATTATCTCCATTGAACACATTCTCTAATTTCTTAAAAAAATTTTTAGTATTAAGCATTGAATTCAGCACCTTGCACGTGCTAGGCAAGCACCCAACCACTGAGCTACATCCTCAGCACAAAACACAATTCTTTTTTAATGGCTTTAACAACAGTACACTGAGTCGATATATCATTAATTGATCAAAATCTTTTATGTTATCAAACTTTGTACCACCACACCTGGCTATTTTTGGTTTTTTAATTTTTTTTTTTTGTTTCATTTTATTTTGCTTTTTTGGAAAAGGGTCTTGCTTCTATAGTTCAACCTGGCCTTAAACTTACTATGTAACCGAGGCTGGCCTTGAACTAGCCTGATCTACCCTTTT